CACCAGAGACTAACTCGTGCTGGAGTTCCATTAGCTCGCTCGCTCGCTCATTCAGCTGTGAATAGTAAGGCTGAGGTCACAAGTCTACCCAGAGGTGCCGAAAAAAAGGCCTGGTTAACTGTGGAGTACACATGCAACTGGCACTCACAAGTTCAGAGTCGACGTGCTATTTCACTTAGGACACAACGCAACGTGACCATCTCACTAGGGCAGGCTTGTGTTGGTTTTTTATTTTTCTCCCTTAGCTGAAGCCCATCTAAATGTTCCTCTATGAAATGGGTCATTTTCTTTCTTTCTTTTTTGAAATGGGTTATTTTCACGTGACTAGAAAACAGGTGTTTTGGACAGTTTCCCTACCTTTGGACACACTATTTTCATTGAGAAGAATCCTGAAAGTACCATGGACACTAAGAGGACAAACTGACCTGTCTTGGAAGAAGTTTGCCCAAAGTGCTCCTTAGAAGTAAGGATGACAGGGTTTCTTTGCACATACTCTGGGCAAACTTGTCCTTCGGAAGGACATCATGTGTGGTAAGGTAAAGCGGAGGGGCAGTGAAAAAGGAGGCCCTCAATGAGATGGAGCCACAGTGGCCGCAACAATGGGCTCAGGCCTGGGAACAATGGTGAGCGCGGTGCAGGACAGGGCAGTGTTTCCTTCTGCTGTACACAGGGTCCCTGTGGGTCAGAACCGACTCGATGGCACCTGACAACACCTTTTCCATCGTATCAAGTACCCACCGTGTGGGTCCTGTGGTCACAGGAAGTTGCTTCAAAGACCAGATTTTAAGGCAGACTGCTGTCAATGGCCATGGGGTCCTCCTCCCCGAGGTGACCCCGTGCACACACAACAGAATAAGAAGTTCCTGCTTCAGCCCTAGGTTGCAACCCAGCCTGCTGGTTACAGCGCAGACTGTTGGGATTCACTGGCTGACTTCTGGAGGCAAGGTCACCTGGCCTCTCTTCCTCGTCCACTTGTCTGGAAGCTCCAATGATACCTGTTCAGCACCTTAAACACACACACCACCACCACCACCCACCACCACCACCACCACCACCACCACCACCACCCCCCCACAGATAGACACAGGGTGGGAAGTAGTTATAAATGAGGTGCACTGGCTGAGAATAGAACTGGGCTTCCCATATGAAAGGCCAAGAGGTCTTCACAACCACCACTACCGTTCAAAGCAGAAAAGACTCATGGGGCTCTCTCAAGCATCACCTTGCCCATTCTGAGCTAAGTTGGCTCCCCATGAGGAGGACTAGTTCTACCTGGATCAGTAGCCAGTGTGGCTCCTTGGCCCCTCCTCTCTAGGTCACACCAGGGCCACCCACCCTGCTCATGCCTTAGCATTGTCAGGGCTTCTTTCCCTCGGGCAAAACCCGGGTAGTTTGGTGCTTCGGTGTAAGCACTTGGCTGAGCACCAAAAGGTTGGCAGTTCTAAGCCCCCAAACAGCTCCTGGGGAGAAACAGGAGGTGGTGGGCATCCATGAAGATGTGCAGTCCCACCCTGTCCTATAGACTGTGGGAATCTTGGTACCGTTGTGTGCTGGCAAGTCTCTCTGCTGGGGTGGGGTGGGGGGGTGTTTCCAGCATGCAAAGTTACGGGAAGACGCCCTGATGGCACTATGGCAGTGGCTCTCAACCTTCCTAATGCCATGACCCTTTCATATAGTTCCTCGTATTGTGGTGACCCCCAACCACAAAATTATTTTCATTGTTTTCATCACTGTCATTTTGCTACTGTTATGAATCAGGTGACCCCTGTGAAAGGGTCATTCAACCCCCCAAAGGGGTCTCGACCCACGTTGAGAACTGCTGCACTATGGGTTGAGTGCTAGCCACAAGGTCGGTGGTTCAAACCCAGCAGCTGGCCCTAGGGAGAAAGACGAGGCAATCTAGTCTCATCAAGAGTTAGTCTCAGAAACCCTACATAGAGTTACTATGAATAAGACCTGATTCAGTGGCATTGGGTTTGGCTTTGTTCACCTTTCCAGGGGCAGACTGACAGCCCTTTCTACCGCAGAGCCTCTGGTAGTCAGCAGGTGAGCAGTTGGTTGCAGATGGGTGGGTTTGGGTCTGTGGGCTCAAGCAAAGGGGCTACCAGGCCTTGCAGCTAACAGTCTCGGGCATGGAGCTATAGACCTGGGTGCCAGATACCTGGGTGCCAGAGACTGGGTGCCCACAATGGATTCTGCTAGAGCCACTGCTCCTGCATGTCACTGGGGATGGGAGCAGGCACTTTGGGTCCCGTGGTACTGACACACTGTCCTGAGGAGAAGACTGGTGTTTCAGGAGGGAGGGCTCTGCAGAACTGGGCTGGTGCTTACCCGGCTACCCGCTGTGCCACCCCCTCTCCACTCCAGCCATCTCATAGGGCCTGGGCCCTCCCTGTGCCACACTGGGTCTGGGCTGCAGGATGGCAGGAGGAGGAAGAGACAAAGGTGGCAGAGGTGTGGAGGGGCAGCAAGTCTGCTGCTGCAGGCAGCTCAGGTTACCATCTGAGTAAGCAGCTTCTGCGAGAGGGAGCCTGTACTTCGGGCACGCCCGAGGCCCGCCATGGCCAGCTCCCAGGCCCGCAGACACCGACACTCGAGCCATCAAACCTCCTGCCTAAAGAAACCCACCCACCACCCGCCACCCACAGTGGTCTCTCCTCCCAAACCAAGAATTGATGTCTGCGTGAGCTAGCCCAGCTCCACAAGATGCGGAAGTGCTCACAGCACCCAGCCCTTTCCTGGGTGTCAGGCCACCTGCGATCTCTCTAAGGACATGCCACCAGCAGCTGGCTGCAGCCTTCTTCCTGGCTCCAGGTGGCCAGCCTTTCTGAGCTGCTGCTCTCAGCAGCTGGGCGGTCATCTCACCTAAGAACAGCATACCTGATGGGGCGCTGGGTCCCATCTACAGGGAGGTAGGGGTGCAGCGCCTTCTGAGTGTTGGGAGAGGCACCCACCCACCCCGCTGCACAGTGCTCCATAACCAACACTGGCTGTTTTCTCTGGGGTTCCTAAGCATCCAGGCACCAGCTGGCCCCACAAGAGCAATCAAGAAGCCCAGGGCAGTGCCTCCGTTCCAGGTTCTCATGAGCCCCACTCTCTGACCCCCTGAAAATGCCTGTGGTCACTTAGGCCTTGCACTTCCACCACCTGAAAGTTCTCTGTCTGTTTTAGCAGGCACCCCACTTAGTAGAAAACAGCCTCTCCACAGATCAAGGAAACCCCAAAGCAAAACAATACCCTGCCCCCCAGTATGCACGTAGGATCCACAGACTGTTCACTGTTCCAGGCTGCCTTTCCATCCAGTCCCAAAGAGCCCAGAGCAGCCCTGGTGGGAGAAAAGGCCCAGCCCGACTCCACAGCCGCTGCACCTGTCAGGGTTTGAGTGAGCAAGGGTGCAGCCAGTCCCACCAAGAAGGAACGGGAGCCGCACCCTGGGTATTGTCAGCTCTGGGGTCTCAGGCGGGCAGAGATGAGACCAGGGTAGCATCACCCAGAGCCAGGGCACCTGCTTTCCTTTTCTACAAAGGGCGAGGCTCATGCCTGGGCTGTGGTCTGTGGTGGGTGCTGAACCACCCGACAGCGACTGAGTGAAGTGGGGGAACAGTCCCTCCAGGCTACTTTTAACTGACTGACTGGAAAACCAAGTCCTTCCCTGGTGACAGGGGCACCCTGAAACCCAGCCAGACCTACAGGGGGCTTGGTCTCCAAGCCTTTCTCCACCAGCAAGTCTTTCTGACAAAGGGCAAGAAAGTGACCTCCAGGAATGGGAAGCCCTGTGGGCCAGAGCTCACACTAGCCAGAGCTGGCCAGAGCTCACACTAGCCCCCAACCCGCGGCCACGCCATGGTACCGCGCTTCCGACATGGGATTCGGGAAAGGAAAGGGATCTTCATAGAAAACTCGAGGTCCCTGTTCTGGGAGGGTTTGGAATCACAGTGACTGGAGGGACAGGAGGTGGCAAGGAAATGGGTTTGGGGAAAAGCAGAGATGCTTGTGGGACTGGGAGACCTGCCCCAGGCTTGGGTGGGTGCTAGGGATCAGGGCAGGTGGGCTCCAGTTGGGCTGGAAGTGGATGAGGGTCTAGTCTCCTGGGGAAAGGACCCGGATTGGTGCGGCTGAGCTCTGATTGGCAAGGGCACTGAGTGGAGTATTGGGTTGGGGTGGAGGTGCATTGGGGAACTGGCCGGATGGCAGGGCAGGGTCCAGGGTGGTCAGGGCACTGGGAAAAGTGGCAGGGCTGAGCTGGGCAAGCAGGGGAAGGAGGCTGGGGTTGGCCAGGGTAGCCTGATGGGGAGACTGGGGAGCGCCGTGGGGATCTGGGACCAGGCTAAACTGGAGGGATGGAGGGGACTGGGTGATGGGTTGGGCTAGAATAGACAGGGTGGGTAGGGCTGGGTAGTAGGCTGGGTTGGGGGGCCAGTAGGGGCTAGGGAGTGGCCTGGGCTAGGGGAAAGGAAAGGATTGGGTAAGGGGCTGCATGGGCTGATAGAGTGGGGTGGGGAGGCAGGGGATCAAGTCAGGGTATACTGGTAAGGGACTAGGAACCAGGCTGGCTGGTTGAGTTGAAAAGATAGAGGAATTAGGTAACAAGATGTGGATGCTAGGTATTGGGTTGGTCAGGATGGTGGGGGAGGAGCCAGGTGTCAGTATTGCAAGCTGGACTAGGCCAGGGGAGTGAGCTGGGGTTCAGAAGGAAGGAGGGGGGTTGGGTTGGAGGGTCATTGCGGGGAGGGGGCCGTGGAGCTGGCCAGGTGGGAAGGATGCGGGGGGCTGTGGAGGGGGCTGCTTGGTACTGTGGAGTTGGCTGGGTTGGGGGTAGGTGGGGGCTGTAGCGCGGGCTGGGTCAGAAGGATGGAGGGGGGGTCGGTGGAGAAAGACAGGTTGGGGGAGTCCACGGGGAGCTCAGGAGGGCCCTAGGGGGTTGCGGCGAGGGTCGGAGGGGAGGACAGAGCGGTCTCGGGGTCGGGTGGGGCGGGTCCGGGGCCGGCGTCCCCACGCACCTCCTCCGCCTGCTTCCGCAGCGCCTTCTCGCGCTCGTACTGGGTGAGCAGCTGCTCGTTGTCCTCGCGCAGCAGCTCCAGCTCCACCTCGTGCTCCTGGTTCTCGCTGAGCACCGAGTCCAAGTTCTCGAGCACGTTGACCACGAGCGGCATCAGCTCCTTGACCACCTCCTCGTCGTAGCAGTGGATGAGGCGCTCGAACTCGCGGTAGATGGAGCCCGCCAGGCCCGACACACGCTCCGACATCACCGAGCCCGAGCAGTAGTCGTCCTGGTACACCACCACGCCGCCGCCCTCATCCATCTGGATCTCCATCAGCGCCGCCATTGCCGCCGCCAGCGCGGCCCGCTGTCCGGCCGGCGCCCGCCGCCCAGGTTCCGCAGGCCGCAGTCAACACCGCCACAGATGCTGTCGCCTCAGGCACGACCGCCGCCGCTGCTGCTGCGCCCGTCACTCACCCGCCGGAAGACCCGCCTCCGGAAGGCCCGGCCCCCGGGACGGAGGGGCGGTGCCCGAACGTCCCGCAGGATCCTCGAGGCGTCGCTAGGGGTCGCCCGCACCGTGACGTAGAGGATGCTGTCACCGCGCCGGAAGCTCGGCCGAGAGGGCAGGAAGAACTTCCGGCTGCCTTGTCAGAGCCCCAGGGCAGGAGAGGGAGCGATGCCTAAGCCAGGTCACCTCCCTTTATAACGGCCTGTGATTTATTCCGAGTACATAGGAACGATTATGTAGTAGGCAACCCCCAAATTATCTGTGTAGCGCACCCCCCCCCGCGTTTAAGAATAAGAACATTCTCCCCTCGGAAGTGACCTTAGCGCTGACCTTGTTTGCCATCCTTCTAGTAACCTTTATTGTTTTACTGCAGAATAGTGCAGACTCAAGGAGCCCTGCTGGCAGAGTGGTTCAGCCTTGCTTGCTTGTGTTGCTAACAGCAAGGTGAGCAGTTTGAAACCACTAACCTCCCTGTGGGCGCAAAGTGAGGCTCTGAACTGCTATAAAGATGTAGTCGTGGAAACCCATAGGAACAGTTCTATCCTCTAAGGTCACTGAGTCATTACACAGTGGCAAATTTTTTGAATGCATACTTCAGGACTCCCTGGGTGACGCAAGCAATTAACCAAGACACCCAGTCAAAAGATTGATGGTTTATGCGCAGCCCCAGGTGACTCGGCGATCTCCTTTTGGACTGCCTTGTAAACCCCGTGGAACAGTTCTAGTCTGCACACGAGAAATCACCACGTGACTCGACTCCACTGCTATAGCAGTGGTCCTTCTCTACAATATTCTTCACTCTTCATAGTGCATCTATGTCACCTGATAGCCCATCTGGATACTTGGTCCAGCTTAGCTGAAAATCCAAACCCAACCTTAATGTACTTTTCTTTTGAGTTACCCTCACACAAAGGTCTATATAGAAACTTTTATCGTGGATGACATTGCTTTATGCACTTATCAGGCGACTAAAAAACTTAAGTCTACATCTGTCCTGCATGCTGTGAAGCCTATTTGCTCCGGTTCTCTTCATCTGTCCTTCCCCACATTAACTCTGTGGTTTTATTTTTAATCTATTTGTCCTTTTTGATACTCTTAAGTTCTACCAGTTTTGACAGCCTGTATCTTATTTTCAGGTCCTTATTTGTCTCCTTTAAAAGCTTTCCAAGTCTGATTCAGCATTCTATTTTGGCAGGCTCTTGCTCAGACTCCCCCACCCCCCTTCTGTGTTAGAGTTCTTTGAAATTTCATGTGGAAATTCTCAGATGTTTATGTGCCAGAAGATTTGCATTTCCTTTCACTGGATACCCAGCAGCATTATGAACCCAAGTCTTTAAATGTTCAGCCTGGGGTTCTGTAGATCACACAGGAGTGTGGCTTCTAACCCAAGAATACGTTTCAGTGTGGGCAAGCATGTGCAAAAGAGAACCCCTTTCCTCCTTTTAAAGCAGTGGTTCTCAACCTGTGGTTCTCCCTCGACCCCCTTGGGGGTCAAATGACCTTTTTACAGGGGTCACCCAATTCATATCAGTAGCAAAATTGCAGTTATGACATAGCAACAAAAAATAATTTTATGGTTGGGAGGTCACCACAACATGAGGAACTGTATTTAAGGGGTTGTGTCATTAGGAAGGTTGAGAGCCACTGTTGTTTTTTTTAATTAATCATTTTATTAGGGGCTCATACAACTCATCACAATCTGTACATACGCCATTTGTGTCCAGCACATTAGTACATATGTTGACTTCATCATTCTTACAACACCCGCTTTCCACTTGAGCCCTTGATGTCATTTCATTTTTCCCCCTCCCCCAATAACTTATAAATTATTTTATTCTATCTTACCCCATCCAACGTCTCCCTCACCCACTTCTCCACTTCCCGTCCCCCAGGGAGGAGGCCACATGTAGACCTTGTCCTCTGTTCCCCCTTTCTCCCTCTCCTTCCCTTCACCCTCCCGCCATCGCCACTCTCTCCACTGGTCCTGGGGGGTTCATTTGTCCTGGGTTCACTGTATTTCCAGTTCCTATCTGTGCCAGTGCACCTCCTCCAGTCCAGCCGGAAATGTAAGGTAGAATTGGGATCAATGGTAGTGGGGTGGAAGAAGCATTTAAGAACTAGAAAAAATTGCGTATTTCATCATTGCTACACTGCACTCCGATTTGCTCCTCACATCCCCGCAGATCTTCGGCAAGGGGATATCCAATTTCCCCCGGATGGGCCCTGGGTCCCCACTCTGCACTCCCCCTCATTCACAATGTTACGATTTTTCTTTTTGGGTCTTTGATGCCCGATACCTGATCCCTTTGCCGCCTTGTCATCTTACAGGCTGGTGTGCTTCTTCCATGTGGGCTTTGTTTCTCAGTTAGATGGCCCTTGTTTATCTTCCAGCATGTGGGACCCGATTCTGTGTAATTTGACAGCTTGTCACCATCAGCTTTCTTCACCGCATTTGCTTATGTACCCGCTTTGTCTTCAGCATTCGTGTCGGGGTAGGCTGAGAACCACTGTTTTGAAGTCAATGAAACTTTTAACTGATTAGAATGAAAGCTTATAAACCAGGTTTCCATTCAACAATTCACATTTCACTTCACTGATTGCAAACTCCCACGATCTCTCTTCCTGTTCTATTACTCTTCTCTCAGCCCCTCTGAACTGTGGGTATATGCTGCCCTCTTGATAGTGGCCGATTACTCTGAAGGTTTACTTCCTATAATGCTACTCTTCCCTTTATATACTTATTGTTCAGCTGAAAAATGAGCCATGGGGAAGCTGCTATCTTGGGGTTTCCAGCAGTCTCTACCCAGCCAGTAAACCATTATATTTTTTTAATTTTGAACTTGCCTCGACCTTTTTTCTCCCAATCTAGGTCCTTCTAATGTGAGCCCCTTCAAAACAGTAGTGGGTATCAACCCACTACTCGATTGTGAAGGCTATTTGAGAAACCCACTACCAGTGGTTTCCATGCACCTCAATTCACTTTCCTTCGCTTCAGACAGGGAAAGACCAATAGTTACACCTCAGATGGCCACTCACAAGCTTCCACGTCCCCAGCTGCTACTCACCAAAGTAGTAGAGCATTGTCTCTGTGGACTGTAATGCCAATTGGCCTTGGTGTCTCCTGGGACTACCCTCCCGAAACCCCAGGCCCAACAACTCAGTCCCACAAGGTATTGTTTTCAGTTTGCCCCTATGGGTTGTCATATTCAGATATACTCATATGTGGTTATACTTCTATTTGTTAAGTATATACACATCCAGAAACGTCCAGTAATTTAGTCTCCCTTCCCCATTCCACCTCTGGGAACCATCAAAGATTGTTTGTGTGAAAACCTTTTCCTACTTCTAATAAAAGTGGTCTTGCATTGTTCTGTATTGACTCTTCATTCAGCACAAGGTCCCTCCAGGTTCATGATAAGAAGCAAGAGTGCCATGTACTGGTTGTCCATTCTTCTGCTGATGGGCATGTGGGCGGTTTCCACCTTTGTGATCGTGACTAGGGCAGTGATGTCCATGGGTGTGCATCTCTCCCTGGCAGTGGTTCTCAACCTTCCTAATGCCGTAACCCTTTAATACAATTCCTCATGTTGTGACGCCCTCAACCATAAAATTATTTTCGTTATTTCATAACTTTCATAATTTTGCTAGTTATAAATTGGGTGATTCCTGTGAAAGGGTCATTCAACCCCCAAAGGGGTCGAAAACCACAGGTTGAGGACCGCTGCTCTAGGGTAAGTACCTAGTAGCAGGGGTGCTGAATCATATGGTACGGCTCTTTCCAACATTTTATGGCACCACCATATTGTTCCTCACAGTGGGCATGCGTGCGTGCAAATGTCTTCTTAAATGCCCTCAGGAAAGCTCATCCCCAGCCCCACCACACACAGTATGCTAAAAGGTCAGCCCAGAGCTGCTCACCCCAACCTGACCACATCAAAGCCACTCTGCTGAAGCTGGTGCCCTAAGTGTGAAAGCACATCACGTCAAACTGTCTCAGTTCAGAACCCCTGGATTTTGATCTCAGCTAAGTGACAAGCGTTATCCTTTCCCAAACCTGAATCTAAAAACAGCAACCTGCTGGGGACAGTTCTGGAGAATTAATCTGAAGCAGGTGCTAAGCCCCAGCTATGTCTCTAGCCAAAAGTCGGCAACTGCCATATGCCATAAATGGTATATACAGGACGGTTATGGTTAGAGCCCCATGATGAAGCAGCAGGAGAAATGGATGATGCTGGGGCTTGGGGAATGTTGAAGAGTTCATTTAAGTGTTTCCCCACAAACCTGACCTGCTGGGTCCCTGAAAGGGAGTGCTGCTAGTGAGCTGTTGTGAGAGCCCATCAGGGGCAGGCATCTCCGGAGAGGACAGGCTGCACACCTCCTGGGGCAGTTCGGCTGTCCTCTGGGGCTCCTAAGACCCAAGTCTCAAGGACATTGGAAATTGGTGTTTTGGGTTTCCCAAAAGTAGTGGACAGCGGGACCAGTTCCTGATTTTTTTTCCGGTTATTTTGATCATTAATGTGATTTGTTACTTGAAGTGACATATTTTAACACGATGATATGCTGACTTGGCCCTCCCTGAGTGGTACAGCTCGGATGCCTGCTGTGGAACTGAACTGGATTAGAATTGCTCTCCTCAAAGAGACGACTTCCCCTTCAAATTTGGGAAGATAAAGCTTTTTCTTCCTTTCTCAAGACCTGCTGGGAGGGTGGGTTGAAGAGGAGGATCTGCGTGTAACCTCCTTCCTGGGGGACGGACGGCAGAAGGGTGGGTGAAAGGAGATGTCAGATGGGGCAAGACATGACAAAGTAATAATTTGTAGATTGTCGGGGGTTCATGAGCGAGGGCGAGCGGGGAGGGAGGGGAAAAATGAGCTGAGGCAGGGGCTTGGGTGGAGAGCGGATGTTTTGGGAATGATGAGGGCAATGAACGTACGAATATGCTTTATATAATTGATGTAGGTATGGATTGTGATGGGAGTTGTATGAGCCCCTAATGGAATGATTAAATAAATAAAATTAGCATATATTAAGGAACAACAACAACAAAAAAGACAAGATCCTTAAATGCAAGACAGGCATTTAACTTTGCAACTGCGATTGCTGAGCATCTGCCCCAGTGTCTGATAAAACCACCCCAGTCTCTGTGATGCTCACTGGTGCTAAGTTGATGGGGATTCATAGCGTCCAGCATGTGCAGACGACTGCTGCCCAGGGCTCCCAAGACTGACTACTAGGAAGACATCTCCCAACCCATCTTCCTAGGTCCCTCTGGGTTTGAACCAACAAACTTCAGCTACTAGTAAAGTGCTCAACCCTTTGCACCACCAGGTGGTGCTCCCATATAGTCCCCTCTCCTTTCTTCAGAGATTGAAGTTTACTTTATTCATTGCAGTTTGGGCGACAGCTGACACATTGGTTTTCCATTCAACAGTGCATACATACACATTTGTAACATAAGTTGCAATGCCCTCATTGTTAGAGGTGGAATTTTAGATGGCAACGTTTTGTGGTCACACGTTCTTCAGGAATGTCGAAGGACACAGAGGATGCAGTAGAGCTGTCTACGTCAGAAGAGTCTGGTAGTGGTGGTGGCGTGTTTGTGAAGTCTGAGGCCCATCACAAAGACAATACAGCAAGTTGGGCTACTTCAGAAGCCAGTGCTGTCACTGCATAAGGCACAGGAGGCAGCCCTAGGATGTCTGCCCTTCACGTGAGGCTCTGGACACAGGCTGAGACATGCCAGGACTCCAAGCTTGCTGTGAGGCCGTGTTTCCTTCCAGTTACCTGCATGGGGTCTCCATAGCATGGTCCTTGGGGCTGACCCCAGTCTGGCAGGGAGAAGGCTGTGGAGTCAACAAGGGGCCTCCCCAGATGCCTATCAGAGGTCCCATCATCCTGAATTCAGGCAACACATCCAAGGGTGGTATGCTTGCTGGTGGGGCTCTGTAGGACAGCTGAAGAGCTAGTGAAGCTAAGACACATGGATGGTGTGAATCCCGTTACCTACAGACATGAACAGACCAAAACCAGGGCCCTAGCTGCCTAGAAAGAGCTACCATGTGTGGAGGAAACTGCCTCCACCAAGGGTAAAGAGCAGAGGCCCACAACTTAAGGCTGGCGAGAGAGAACAGAACAATTTGCAGGTAAACCACTCCCTAGTGACAGCAAGGCAAAAGCTCCTACAGGAGATGGGGCTCCTCAGGATACAAAACCTTGCATAAAAGCCTGAGCCCAAGAGAAAAAGGAAAAATGCACCATTTCAGTTTTGGTTGAAAGCTGTTGAGGATATGCAACCCAGATGTTACAAGAGCGCAGAACAAGGTGATGGGGTCAAAAGTGGGTGTAGCAGCAGCCTCTCCAGGGCAAAATTATCTAATCGATGGGTGGAGTCAAGTTGTGATGGGGCCTCCCACCCATGCTGGTGTCTCTGCCCAGGTCTCTTTGGCTCTTGCGGTGACAGGAACGTCTGGCCTTCTTTTGCCCACTGTGAACTCCCTTTGTTTTAGCCATTCCCTGGCGCCCCCTAAGCCCAAGTACAGGGTTCCAAGGTCAGAGGGTCCCCTTGCTTCACTGTACCTTTCCCTCCCCAGGTCCCTTTCAGATCTGGATTTACAAATGAACACTCGCCTAGGAAGTCCCTTTCCCCTCATGCAGAAGTGTCTCCTGGGGCTAGGCTGCCAGTTTTCTGCAAAACTCTCTAATGCAGAGCCAGCTTTGAACATGTGACAAACCCTTTCCCACCCCTATCCCTCAGGCTAAAGGAAACTACAGTACGGGCATCCTTCTGTCAAGTTTTTGTGTGACACCTGGGGAAGTGCCAGCCTCTCAGTAGAAGGAGATGCTGGACTTGCCTCCGGGAGGGTTCAAAACTTTGTTGTGAGAGCGAGGCCTTGGTCCCAACCGGGGCTCATGGCTGTCAACGCTGGCCGTGGGCTCTGGTTCCTTGGCAGGGGCTTTGTCTCTTGTATTGTCTTTCTCAGCCGTCCCATCTCTCAGGGGGGTGCTCGCCATGGCTGTGGAACAGATCAGCACATCACCGTTAGACTGCCCATGACCCTGCCATCAGGCTGTTCAAGGAAAAGCCTGTGTCATTAAGCAGCTTGCAAGAAATTCACCCAGTCATGAAGATTTGTCTGCCAGATGCCAGGCTTGTGCTGGGTCAATGGGGGCCAGGAATTGTGAACACCCAGATGTGTCCATACATGTGCTGGCTACATCCTTATACTATTTGCCAAATGTCAGCCCACCCTGAGTAACAAGGAGACATCTTCAGAGGGCCTGATGCTGTCTGTGATTGGATATTTTTAGGGGAATGCATGGCATCTTGTGTAGCCTGACCACCTCCTAAAGGAGGCAGCAAGAGTGAGGGTACAAGCAGCTTCACCTCCCCAGATGCATGCCCATCTCAAGTCCCTCTCTCTGTCTCCTCTCCCCCTTGGGCCCGTCCGTCTTTTGAGTCTGAGTCCCACCTGCTTTGTCCTGTGCCCAAGGCGTTTCTAGGGAAAGGGTGATATAGGAATGAGTATAGGCTGGTTAGCAACACTCCCGGGAGAAGAAAAACCACCTGGGATTAATGCAGTTACCAGGAAATAACTCGGCCACATCTCTGGCTGCCCACACACTCAGTCCCTGCAGCAGTAACAGGGTGGGCAAGTTCTGGTCACTGGCCTGGCAAAGGGCCTTTGTGCTCTTACCCTCAGGGCACACTTGCAACTTCAGGGTGCAGGCACAGACAGGACAAGGGACAAGAAACCATCTCACCTGAAAGGTCCGGTTTAGGGTCTTCTCCTTCACGTAACAAAACATGGTCCTGCAATGAGCAAGCAAGGTCAGAGCACAGTTCGGCGACTTTCACTCACACAAGTGAGTGCTTCATTTTTAATTTCTGAAAGCATTTCTATTATGGACACTTTTCACCAACAACAAACCAGAGAGAAGGGTCGAAGGCCCCCTTCTGTGTAACCTGTCACTCAACTGTGAGGCCATCAGCACACTGCTGTCTAGTTTCAGCCAATGCCCACCCTCCCACTGCCACAGAATGCTGTGAAGCAAATTCTCAGTACTCCATTGATAAAGACTCCACGACCTGAGTTGAAAAACAACCCTCCAAAACTGCCAACATTAACAGTTCCTCAAAGAGAACAGAGTCTACCAGCATTTACATTTCCCTAATGATGGGGGGGCTCCTGGTCTCTCAGAGCTGGTCTGCTTCCAACAAGGTTTGAACATCAGGGTTTGTGTTTCTTCAGCCTCACTAACGGAAAGGGCTCCCTGTGGATCATCACAAGATGGATGCCTCTGTATTTGGTGTTATTCGGCCGGAGGCAACTGATCTTGTGACAAAGCCTCACAGGTGTAGCAGATCCCTCGTATGATGTCAGATGCCGATGATGTCTCTGCCCAAACACCATCCTTTCATCTCAGGCTTGCGACAAGGGTACATGCAGATCTGCTCTTTCTTCCAGATGCACTGGAAGCTGGCAGGCTCGGGGAAGGAAACACCTTTACGGCAGCAAGCTCCCAGACAGTTCCCACATGCCCACAGGTGCTGGATTCTGCCCTTTCTTCACCACTTTCCACAAGAACAAGTCTATCCCCAGGCACCCCCCAGACAACAGGGGGAGAGTGGGGATTAAATACTTGATAGGCACACGGGGTTTCATCAAGGCAGTGATTGAGGACCTGGTGCTCCCCTGCTGGCATGGACACCTCCTCTTGTGAGACCCTGACCCTCTTGATGGCTCCGGTCTCCGGTGACCTCCTACTCTCTGTTATACTGGGACACCCCAGGTTCAGTCTTGTTCTTGACTTCTCACTTGGGGTCCAACACCACCCATCAGAAACCTTTCTGTTTCACAGACCAGGGAAGCCTGAGGTGCCTTCCTTGGCCTGTCCCAGGGGTGTGAATGGTCCCCAGGTCCCTATGCCGCCCCAGACACTGCTAGTCATGCAAAGAACTGGCTTACATCTGGCAGCCCAAAGATGCTCTACTGCATCATATGCCCACTGCTCTACTGAGGTGACACCTGCTCCCGGTGGGGCTCCAAACTGGACACAGAGCTCACCCAGCAAGCAGACACCTGGACACGCTCCCACCCCCGGGCCGCCCCCACCTCCCCCTCAGTCCTCTGTATTTCTGCTTCAATAATGACCCACGGCCACCCTGGGAGGTGAACCCACACAAAGTGCAGACTTCCAGGCTCCAGGATGCCAGAAAGGGATGAGAATGTTACAGCTCTACGTACTAGAATGCAAAGTGTGGAAAGCTAATGAGGAGACTAAGATAATTAATTACTAAGTTTGTTCACTGGTGAGTCCTGGCCACAGTAAACCCAAGAGGTTCTGTCACCTCTCAGACTAACATAGAAACCTTCAAGTGGGAAACACAGGCTCTGGCACTCAGAGAACCAGCCAGCCCTGCCCATCTCTTCCTGCCCCTCCTTCTCTCTCCTCTCCTGTGACCTTCCCTTGGACCTGTCTCTTCTGACTGAGTCCTGCCAGCTCTGCCACCTCCATCCACTAACTGAGGTTGTCTTCAACAGAAACTGGCTAGCAACGCCACCAGGTGGGGAAAAAGCACCTGGGACCAGTGTCTGCCCCTAGCGGTGCCATGGATTGCTAACTGCAAGAAAGATGAGACTGTCTGCCCCTGTAGAGCCTCAGAAACCCCTGGAGGCTGTTCTGCTATGAGTTCATCAACTCAACGGTAGTACTTACTGATTTGTTTTTTAAGGGGGGGGGGCTGGGCACCCATAAGGCCACACCTGAGGTCCACAGCCCCCAAATTCTTTGGTTCTCAGTCAGCCCACAGTGAGGCAGATGTCACCTTTGGTTTGGACAGATGGAAGAGCTCTATGTCCCTGTGCCCTTCCTAGTCTGAGAAGGGCAGGTTCTCCCTGGGAGACTGAGGGTGTCATGAGGAATGTGGCCTGCCCACTGGCCCTCACTCCCGCCCATGTGCTAGACGGGCCGACTGTAGTCACGCCAGGGCGGGGGATCTCCTTTTCTGCTGACTCATGGGAGATCTGTGACTCAGATGACAGCTCCTGGGGAAAATCAATGCCTGTCTTGCTGCTGCTACTGCCGACACCAGCCCTTTCCCCTTTCTCCCCCGAAACCACAGCACACCCTGGTGCTGCAGACTTTTTCTGCTCTCCCAGCGAAGGCCACACCTACCTTGGGCTTGTTGGGGTGCACCGAGGGTAAACTGGAAGTGACTGGGGAGCCAAAAATGTTGCTGGTCTTCCCACCAGGCGGGTTCAGACGATGCCGGGTCTGCACAGGCTGTTTCGACTCATCAAAGATGCCACTTCCTTTCCCTCCTGCAGAGACGATCACAGACCACTGAGTGACTAGAACGACCCTCGGGCCCTCTCCTGAGCACCTCCCCATCTAGGGCCGCTCCCAGGGACTCCCACCTAGCCCTCTCACACACACACATCAGGAGCTGCTCCTAGGGATGCCAACTTGACCCCTTTTGCATACCTCCCCATCAGAGCACTCACAGGGATGCTTGCCTGGCCTAGAAGCAGACAACCAGGAGGCAAAGAGCCCAACCCCACATCCTTTCCTTCTAGAAGGGAGCTGGTCTCCACACGTGACAGCACAGAATGTAGATCACCTCCAGAATCTCCCTCAACCCCAATCCACCATCCCCCCCACCCGTGTTCCTTGTCCAGCCCCGACAAGGTTGTGGGGTGGATGGAAAAGAAGTGCTGCTCAGTTTGGGTTCTTGGGACAGAGCTGGAACGTAAGGAGGCACCCTGCTCAAGTAAGTCTACCTGAGACATAGCCGCTATTAGTTACTTTCTTACAGCCCTCTGGCTGGAATTCCCAGTGTCCACTGCTTGTCAGCAAATAACAGGTTTTAACACCTTTGCTGCTAGCATAGAAGTGAACCCACCAACCATTATGAAAATCTGATGTCTGGGTTGGAACTCACAGAGGCTGGTGACTAAGGTCTGGGTGTGGATGGATGGCCACACGAGGAACCACTGGTTGGGGTCTCAATAAGACCCACGCCTCCTCTCCAGAATAGTGTAGGGGGAGGCTGTTGAGTTGAAGCTGGTGACCAAGTTCTGGATGTGGACAGCAAATGCTGTGTAGGGCAGAGATGGCTACATACACGGTACCACTCAGCTGACCCGAGCCTCCTCCTCACAAAAGGCATGTGTGCTAAGAACCGACCTCTTCCACCAAGGTGCGACAGCGAGCTGTGACTGTGACTTTACGTGACTCCCACGGCCTTTGTGACCCCAAATCGGGGATAAGAGAAGAGTCTCCTCCGGCTGCAGGGGACCAGTGAGTTACTAGAGAGCACAACGGGCTTTGGTGCACAGTCGTCACCGCCAGAGGCCACTTCTGAGACGGAGACACACATACAGCAGTGTACGCAGTGTTGCGGGACAAAAGGAAGGGGAGCTCTGACTTGTTCAATCTCCGTAAAGAAAAGTGGTCACATCACACCCCTCCCTACAAAGGAAGTGCATGTGTGCACTCAAGGAAGATATAGAAGGCAGAAAGAGCAACACTGCTCAACATATTCTTTTTTAATGAATTTTGATATTTTGTTTGCAGAAAGTTAAAATTTTAAGCCCCCTTGCCCTCTCTGCTGCGGTTCCATGCTCTGGTCTCACCTTCACTTTGAACAGAGTGGCCTCGGAGATCAGAGTCTGGTCACAGTGAGAGCGCTGTAAGAGAGCAGGATGAGCAGCAGCCCAGCTGGGCTTCTTTCCCTTTTGAGGGCCAACGCGCCCCTACAAAGCTGTTTGTGTAAGTCACACAGGTGGGGTCACACAGCTTGTTTGCTATTCTCTGTCCAGTTTATTTCTGTGACTCAACGTTTTACAGCTTGAAAGACAAATCCAACTTAGAAGTGGGGAAAGTTATGCCTAAATACCCCATTTGTCAAAGCCAAAACACAACTCAGTATCGAGCAGCACACACATACGTTATGGGTGAGAAGTGGGTAATCTCACAGACACACTGAGCAGTTGTCAAACATGGTGACTGACACAACACAGCAAGGGACCAACAAAGGGGCCTAGGACCATTCTCAGACCACCCTGGAGAGGATCCTCACAAGTTTCCTCCTATCGCTGGTTGTACACACTCTGCCTCCCACTCCTCTATCATGGCTGCTACACACTTGACTGGCACAAAAATGGGCAAGACTAGCTCTCAGGGGCCACAAGCTGCTTCTGTGGCCCTCCCTGGACTGTTGTTCAGAGACTGCTTCCCAAGGGCCCTCCCTCTATGGGATGGAAACAAAGCCACCAACAGGGTTGTGAGCACCTCCATGACCACAGACACCTGTGAGTCCCCCCAGCACACCCATCCAGGCTAAGAGGGGGGCCCTGCAGCTCCCGAGGCTCCACCTCCAGGCTGCCAAGGTTCAGACCTGCTCCCGCTGAGCACGCTACCAGCCACCAGCAGAGCCTCAGAGGGGCCTCTCTCTTCCAGGAGTCACTGTTGGCACTGGCAGGGCAAGTTGGTACTGACATTGTTGGTGAACTGGGCTCAGGCAGGGGTCACTCCAGAGTTCTCCATGGGAAGCACAGGATGAAGCTTCCCAAGACCCCTCTTGTGGCCACCAGAGGGCGAGATGAGTGCTAAAGACCTGAGTACAGTATACCCTACAGGGACAGGCTGTCCTTTTAAAGGCTCAATTACATTGAAAAATAACATTCTTCCTGAGAAAATGTCCACAAGCCCAGTGGCCTATGCAACTGCAGGAGCCACAGCCTGGGCTCCTCATCTTAAAAAGGCAATTTAACCATGGGGTATGTGGGGGTAATGCTATAAAATGGATATGGGGGTGAGTGTACAATTCTCCTGGATAGGACTGAATGACTGAAATATATGATATGTAAATTACTTGCCAATAAAATTGTTGGGAGAAAAAAAGACACAGAAGAGGAAACGTATATGGGGCAGCTCTACCGATCCTATGAGTCAATAGCGGCTGGTGGCAGTGAGTTTCATTTAGGTTTTCTATTTGAAACAAATAAACAAACACCATAAAAGTCCCTCCCTTGTCAGAGAGCCTGGGCCAATTATCCACAGTGGAGCTCCCAGAGCTGGACATGGGCAGCACAGAACAACATAAAGACACGCACACCATCTTCAAGAGAAAAGAAAATCCTTTTCTTTTTCTAGAAAACTCCGAAAACAGGGGGTAGCCTGTACTGAAAGAGTAAGGATCACAATGGAAAACAGAGAGTCCTCCCTACAGAGCAGCAGAGCAGAGGTGAGGCCCCACCTACCTGGGGGGTTGGTCCTCTTGGGTACGTTCTGAGGCTCTTCAGTTGGCCCAAAGATATTGGAGGCCATCCTGTTGGGCTTGCCAGAGGGGACCGCCTCCTCTGGACTTCCGAAGATGTTGCTCGAGTCTCCTCCAGGGGCTTTCATGGCCCTGTGTACAAAGAGGAAACACGAGTTACAGAGGGCACTGGACCCTGCTCACCAGGAGGGCACTGGTAGAACGCCACCTTCTTCATGCCTGTGGGAAGCACACACTTATGCACACTGGCATGAGCAGTTTGCTCGGAGCGCCAAGGACCAGACTGTGTTTGCTTCTGTGATGAATGACTCCACAATACCAACACCTCAGACTCCGACAGATAGCCCCGTGGCAAGGCTGCTTGGTGCCGCCCTCAAGGTTCCATTTAAAGTGTTCCCTGTATGTGGTGCCTAATTCTTCAAATTCTTGATACACATATTATTTTGAAACCATCCCTGTGACCTTCCATAAAAACATCAGGCACGTTTCTCTAAAACAAGTCAGTTTAGTCACAGTTTAGCACAGGTTTCAGTGAACACTCGGTATTTAGCATGTGTCGCAGTGCTCAGCTCTGGGGCTCAAGCCTACAAGCCACTCTGTGCTTTCATAGAGAGGTACAGTCTTGGGAAACCTACAGGGTATCCTCCAAGTCTATGAGCTGGAATCGGGCCTGTGCTTGACAGCGCCACCTGTGGTCAGGGCTGATATGGTTCTAAGTGCTTCCGACACAGATCAAATCCACCTAATGCCACTCCAACCCAAGGAGAAAGGTATGACGATGAAACAGATGTAGAGGAGGCCTGCTGGTGTGCCCAAGACGCAGCAGAACCTGGATCCAGCCACAGGAGTGTGAGCCCAGGGTTCAATCCAAATTTAGCCTCTTACAGGTCTC